ATATACTGTTTCGGCACTGTTTATCCCCCGGATTTATATGGTATCGATCATCGTTTTGCATTCTCTTTATTTCCTGACGCCGCAAAACTACCCTCATTTTTCATTCGATGGGTGGTCATCATAACGAACAGGTTATCGCTGTTAAGAATTTTGGGCAGGACAAAATTCCGGTCAAAATGCATGTTTCTGATATTACATCACTGCATATGTTTTCTTGTCAGAACTGCTGTAAAAAAACGCAATTCACTTTGTCGCCTCCGTTACTATAGTCCAGTTATCCGACGGTCCAGTGGTTCAGAGTGGGCCTGTCTCGCTATAACTCGAGTAAACATTTCACTCGGTTGATCGGCGATGACCCCATCTCACCAAACCTGAACAGAATACAGTTTGAAACATCACCTGAGGCACTTACAACGAAATTTAATAGTCGGATGGCGAAGAAAACAAGTCATAGATGATGTGGTTTGGCGTAACTCTGGACAGCGAAAGGATTTAGTGAGGATTTCCACTGGTGATATACGTAATCATATCTGGGATCTACCATCACATGAAGAGTGCGACCGAATTTGACAATGAGTACTAATTTTGCCTTCTAGTACAATACGGAACATATTTTCAGAGAAGCTCGAAAAAATGACAAATTATATTATGATTATTATTTTACGCTGCTAAAGAAAAAAGTTAGTTATTTTTGTCCCACTTCATCATCATCCTTCTTACCTTATCCTTTCCTTCTTCTCTAATTCACCGTCCTATCAACAATGTTTTCTGTTCTCTCACATATCCTTGTTTCTCTCCTTTATCGTCCTTTCCTACTTCTTCTTCTGTTTCTTCTTCTTCTTCTTCTTCTTCTTCTTCTTCTACTTATGATCCTTTTGAATTCTTCATCTTCTTTAAACCTTTTAAACTTACTATAGTTGCTGAAGACCAATATTTTCCTACAGAATGATTACGCAAGTTATGACATCTTACTATGCGGCAATTTAAAATGCCACACCCTTAATACTAGACGCTTACTCACCACTTGTTGATTAT